ATGGAAATAGTGCCTGTTTACCTCAGCGGATGAAAAGGTTTAACTCAACCACGTAACTAAATTAATTCATGTAAATACGTTCAAAAGACACGTGAATTGGAGCAGCAATCTCCAAAAGTGAGATGCGATCTCTTGGATGAGTGTGCGATCACTATCGTGGACCCCTCTGATTGTGTTCAGAAATGTCTCGTCTGGTAAAGATAACTCTAAATTCTTCCATGTCATGTGTACAATTATGTGATGAATTCAAATAAGACACTTCGTATGTTGAAAATATGAAGGAGGTTTAAATTCGAATTTAATTCGGAACCTGCTTAAAGCAGGTACGTGGATACGCCTCTTGTAATCATCTAAGCCGCCACACGTTGGCTTCCTTTCTCATAGTGTTTACAAATATATTTTTTATCCTTTCCAATAACGAGAACGCACTACACACAGAAACAAAGGTTCCATCAATGAGAAAGATGTTATTCAGAGAACGCGAATATGAAAATACTTTACATTAGAAATACTTGCTCGTCAACACTTCAGCAAAGAACTCGCACGCACGCCGGCCGCCGCGAGGCGAAACGACAAAGAGGGGAAAGGCAGAAAGACGGGCGGGCAGAGCGAGGCAGCTCCCTGCACAACGGGAAGGAGCGCAGCGGGGAGTGGAGCGGCGTCGGGAGAGGCAGAGACGCGCCCAGTGGGGCGAGACAAAGCGGAGAGGCGCCTCGTGGAGGCAGACGTGGGGACGGGAAGGGGCGCAGCGCGCCGGGAATTGGAGGGAACGAGATGGAGTGGTCGCGCCGAAGTGGGGCAGGGTGGGGCAGGAGCTCAGCGAGACAGCACTGATTTGAGCGGAGTCGAGACGGGTAGAGTAAACCGCTGCTCGACGGAGTGGGACACTGTGAGGCGGGATGCGTTACACCGGGATATAATAAAAAACGAAACTGGTGAAAAGTGGGTGATGAAATTGAAAAAAAATTACTCTCAAGGATATTATAAACGAGACTTTCCATTTTACCGCCCCTTTCCGCAAACGTAAATACAATATTATAAATTCAATACAATGCAAGTTTAAATTATTACATAGTTGATTATAATAAATGTCCATATTTACAAAAAGTGGTGAATGTTAAGATGGACTGGTTTGGATGTAATCCATTTTTTTGGGACTGTTCCTACGGGAAATGCTGCAGCTGATAAGGAATTTCAATGGTCAACCGTTGCCTCCTCCAGAGCACAAGTTTGAATAAGTAGACATAAATCATAAGTAGGATGTAACTGTAAGTAGGTCATCTGCAATCGATACTCTTAAAGTGAAATTCAGCCTCGGAGAGGTAGAAAATTGACCGATGGCTGATGGAAAACCGTCCAAATCAGGCGGAGTATGGCCAGGTAACATCGGTTCGGTGGATGCAAAGTAACGAGTGGTGAGGAAAGGGAGTGCCCGCTGTCAGGGAAGCGGACCGATAGTGATTTACCGGAAGTCGGAAGGGACACGGTGCGAAAAGCGAGAGCGAGATGACGGCGTGGAACAAGAAAATAACGTGTCGGCAGGGCCGGGCGAGGAACGGCCGGGTCGTCGGGCGAGCGAGAGCAGGGTGCTCCGGCATGGGGCCGAGCGGCGAGGGCGCGCTCCTTGACGCGGGCGGCGCGAGAGACAAACGGCCCAAGACGGCCCTCCCAAGGCGTGTTCCTCGCGGGCCCGACCCACCCTCCTCGCCCCGCTGCGCGCAGCCATCGACCGCGGGAATCGATAGCGGCGGCGCATCACTTATTCATGCACGGGGTGCTAATGGGCCGGGGCCCGCCGCCGCGACCCCGCGTGCCGCTCGGCGCCGCCGCCCCCGACACCCGTTGACTAACTGCTCGCCGCTCGCGCTTCGGCCTCACGGGGGCGCGTGCCTCTGCAGCTGCCCCCACCCCTACCCCCACACCACGCCGTGCCTTGCGCGCAGAGTTGTGCTCCAATCACAGGCGACCACACAGGACAGACTTTGCGCCTGTCCCTGGCAGTGGAGCCAACAGCAGACAGCTATTCCAAAAATGCGTCTGCTAAATAATTACGCAATCATATTACTTGTAGTATAACAATACAGAACGCACCTATTGGTTAACTGAAAAAACGCCAGTACAAATGCCATTAACGTGACTGCTTGTTTCTCAGATTATCACGAACCTGTAACTCGGAATTCAACTTTGAGTCTGACACACTAAATCTGTAAATATTATAGCTGCATTGCAAATACTTGTGTTTCTCTGGAAGAAACAAACAAACAAACTAGGTGCTAAAGTAGTACATACTTTCCGGAATTACTTTTAACTTTGCAATTTTCACAAATCAACGAAAATGACACCCATCTCCATTTGAAAGCATCCTTTACTCTCTAGATAAAACAAATTAAAGACAAAATTTGGAGCAGTTTTTGCGAACATTTTTTTCCATAAAATGGCAGTAAATTTAAGCAGAATTTAGGCGAAAACTACTAGGGTAACAAAAAAGGTACATATTTTTTAAAGGATTAATTTTGTAAATAAATTTTATTTAACACAAAAATATTTACCATCCACATTGTACTATTGCTATGTTATTACTTTTTGCAATTTTAGAAAATAAAGCGTTCCTAAAAGCGGGGACCACACAACTTTTTGCAGTACTTTGCATCGAGGAAAACATTTAAACAAAACGTTTGAACCTGTTTTTGAGAAACTATTGTATAAAAATTGCCTATGTTTAATGCATAATTACGCGAAAACACTGGTGCAGGGTTTCGAACATCAGGCAGATCCATTAGGGAATATCGAGAAAATCGCCTGAACGGTTTAGCCGTTAGCGTTGTTCACAGACAGACATAGAAATGGATGGACGAACGTTTTGCTGTCATTCGGTTTTTCGTTATCTAGGTCACAAAACATAGATTCTAGCTACATCATATGGTAGAGGATCCCCCTCTAAAATTAACAATTGGATTCATCCACTTATTCGTTAACATCACAGATTTTTGCTGAAAATTTCGTCGTTTTTTCGCGCAGCATTACAGAACTTACTCTTTACTGCGTAAAGGGGTAGCGAGAAAATGGAAATTGAGGCCACGTTTTGAGAACAGTTTGAAAATGTTGACTCTACATGTTAAGACCTGAAATCCAAAGATTCGTTACAAACTTACAGGGCCTTGAGATCGTTTAGATTGATCATAATACCAGTTTTGGAGAAAATCGCCTCAAAGGTTCAGGCCCTAGGGATCGAGGAAGTCATTTAATACTTACAGGAATAAGATTTATCCACTTTCCTCTATCACGGCACAACCTGAAGAGATTTTCTGTCGACTGATTAATTAGTATTTCCGGGCGCGTCCACGGCTGTAATTAGTCCCGTAAGTGCAGTGCATGCTCTTTATAACGGGAGGTGGCAGTAATCTTCCCCCAATGGATGGGGAGACCGGCACGTCGGCATGCAAGCCGACTGTAAAGCCGAACACGCCGGGACAAGCTCTAATTTCCCGGCTAGTATCCTGTCATACTTGGTAGTGTAGTGCATGTAAGTGTAAGTAAGGGGGCGAGGATAGGACAAGGAAGAGGGAGAAAAGTGCGCGGTTCGTGGCCCGTTTGTTGGGACACTATTCCATCACTCACCTGTTGTTTATGGGAGAAATAGAAAATTACCGATCAAAGCAGCAGGCAGATAGAATTCTCCTCAAGACAGCTGCTGAACTCGACCTACCATTCTAGCGTGTCGAAAATCCTGTTCGAACGCCAGGACCTCTCGGGCAGAGGCACTGAAAAGACTAATTGATGCCCTGAGCCAGCTACATTCGTGCTATGTTAAATTAAAAACCTTTCAAAACAACGACGAATGATTTATTCATCTTAATTAGGGTACACGGGTTTCGACGTTTCACGCACGTTCAACGAAATTTTATTCAGAGCACCTGAAAAATCAGAGACTGCTTTGAGGAACTAACAGTGTTTCTAAAGTATAGCTTCAAGTAGTAACGCTTTGTCTGTGGTTATCTCAAATCGTTCGAATTGTTTAAGTTTAGTATATGCCTTACTTTCCCGAAAAACATAAAGAAATGTAATTTCAATAAGACCATAAACTAGTCAACAATCAAAATTGAAGGAGAATCTTCTTGAAAAACGTTATTTCACAAGCTACATCTTTTAAGGTGCGAGTATAAATGTACGAACCTGCTATGATTTTTCTTCTAATGACGTTCATGTCGAAATGATGTAAGTTCATCTGCTGTTTTGAACTGGAAGAATACTGTGTTATTAAAATAGGTATTAAACGCGCGCAAACGTTTTTATTGAACAATTGCCCAGCTTTTGATGTCAATAACAAGGCTACGATTTTTGCCGCAGCTAGATGACATTTTTGACAGATAACAGTTTCGCTCAGGTAAACAAATGATTTAAAAAAATATTTTAACATAGTAAATTCTATCATTTGAGATTCAATCAAAAATATTTTATTTCATTACACGAAAACTTTAAAGAGTTATTCTACCAACTCAAAATATTGTTTGTTTGGGAGTTTCTAATTCGAAATAAAACACTGCAAAACATTATCTTTCATATCGTTTTATTTACATGGCAGACCGGTAACATCCAATCCATATCTCAACACATTATCTCTTAAAAATCAAAATAGGTTTTCACTCTGCTTATTCCATTGTTAGACACTTCTTTATGTTTTCATGAAATTTATTCAAAGAAAAATCAAAGGATTGCAAACTTACTTAAGGCTTTGCATACAATGTTCAAGGAATTAATTCTAGAAGCATTATTCAAGGAGACATTTTGTTGCCATTATTATCCATTTCCGGAAATCACCAACGAGGACGGCATTGGAATTCAAAATGCTCATTTTAAAATGTTTTTCTTAAAACACAATTTTCAATAAAATTATTATTTCCCCATAAAGATATCTTACATTTGGCTTCGCAAAAGTGCGAAAATTGATATGCAAAAGAGAATCTTGGGGGATATGTTTGGGCTAAAGTTGAAGAAATGACGTAACACCTTGTTAAAAATATGTGATCCTGAAGATGGAAGCTGAAGACTGAAACAGAAACAATCTACCTGCACATAGGTAATAGTACACTTAAACGGATCAGCAACCAAAGAACTAATAGCTCCGTTTGTTATTTTTCTACACCAATAGACTACGCTGTCCAGAGTTTTTAAAGGAGCAAATTTATGGACAGAAGTTTGTTTTAGGACGTGAAGAGGGAAATACGTTTTGGAAAACACAATAGTTAAGAATCCACAGAACAAAAGTTATCACCACAATAATCAAATGAGTTCGGGACCCTCTAATTTCATCTTGTGCATTATCCACTTGTTCCTCCCAGACACTAAACTCATTACATTTTTCCTTACTACAGTCATCCTTGGTGTAACTGTCACGTTTCATAACTGGTTTGTTGATTGAATATTAGGTAATGAGAAGGATGGTGTTTAGTTGGGGGTTGGGACTTCTACAACCTACAGGATAAAGGCTCCTAAGGTTTTGGCATGTAATGCCAACACATATCCTTAACCTAGTTTATTGTGATACAGCTCTACATGTGCACAGAATGAGCTGCATGAAGGCTCATGGCTTAGAGTAACATTAGTGAAAACACCCTTCTCCACATTCTCGTATGGTAGTCTAAGTACATCTGCAGTCATGAGCAACAGTCACCTGATGCTCTGAGCGTGATGAGCTGAGAGGGCACAAAGACAAACGGGCCCTGGAGGCCCATCATCGCATTATCTGAGTTCGGGTCACGTGACAGCCGTGTCGTGTGCAACACAAGGTGTATTCGCAGACCCACTAGGGACGTTCCATCGCGACCATCCTGTTATTGGGGTTTGGACCGCTCGTCCATGGGCGCAGCGCACAGACGCCACGGTGACCGCAGCCGTTCGGTTGAGCAAGGCGGGCGTTTCGCACCACGCACATGGCTTTGCGTGACCCGAATAATAACATAATAAATTGACTGTGACATAACATCCCAAGGTTACAGAATCATCTACCAATATGTTTTCTAACGCTATATAGATAATATAATAATAATAATAATAATAACAATAATAATAATAATAATAATAATAATAATCAACGTCCCTTATGAGCGCTGCACGTTTTGGGGAATGATAGCTTACTCAAATCATTGAGAGTTTGTAAATGTTTTACCAGAAAAAAGCACATCCAGACGCAGGGTATCGTCCAGGGGAAGCGTTCTTTGCTCTTGTGGAGGAAAAAATTAAAGAAACTAGTGGTGCTACGGAACGGCACGCACTATCCCGTATTCGTTTTCTTTTTCGTTTGGTCTCGGCTAGCTATTGGGACTTGACACGTATTCTTGCCAGCTACCGTCTATCGCCGTCCCAAGTACATTTTTTTGACATTTCTTAATTTTTCGGTTTCCTAATTGTAGAGCAGATATATTATTTTAAGATAATTCAATAACAGTAAAACGTCGTCGTAAATGGCAACTTTCTTTTAAAACTTTGAAACCACTTATAAGAAAATGGCGTTTAAGCGCTCCTGTAAATTAGAAAATTTGAAGTTCTTTTTCAGAGACAATGTTTGAGTTTTCCAAAAACTTCATTTGAAGTTCTTTTGAAGTACTTCAACACACAAATACAAAAGTGTTTACAAATTGCTAGAAACGCGCATATCAACGGCGTGAGAGATATTTCAAAAACATTACATTTGTGTAATTTTTGAAGGAAAAAAAAATACCGAAATGAACTTTACGTCTTATTACACAGTGCAATTAGCACTATCCATTCGAAATGTTTGAAGAAAAATTGTGTAGTCGTTTTTGAGAAAATGGCGATTGAGCGTTACTGAAAATTCGGAATCTTGAGACAGTTTTCACAGAAAACGCCAAGTTTTCGCGAAACTTTATATGACATTATTTCAAGCACATGTACTCACAAACGTGAAGGTATTGCTGCTAGTATAAATATTAACTACCTGCGAGAAGTCAAAAAAATAATATTTTTGTCACTTTTGAAAAAACAAAACAGAGCAATATGGCGTTTACGTCATCTCATATAGTTCATTTAGCTCTAAATCTACCAAAAGTTGAAAGAAAAAAACTGGATCCGTTTTTGAGAAAATTTTGATTTTGTACTTTTTTTAAATTGCACATATTGCACGCAATATTGCGCGAAAACTACTATTATTTTCAAAACTTTACATGACCTAATGAACGAACTCACTATGGAGACCAAATTTTATTTGAAGCAAAATCTTTAATTTTGTAGTTGTAGGAAAACACCAAAAAAAAAACAAAAAAAACTTTTACTTAAAGCTTCCTGGAGTAGATAAAATGGCTCAAAATTATAACTACTGTAATAAAAGGTACTACTGCCGAAGTTGTTATTATTATACCATTTATCATATATGCATACTGATAGATCACTTGTCAAATTGTTGAAAAGACGGATGACTAACGGGCACGTAAATTGTCACTTTCACCTACTTTTCTGTTGAAAATTTCCGCATGGTTATTGTTATTCCATGAAATAGTTTCGTGTGAATTACACGAAAAAGGGGTATATTACTACTTAGTTTCTCGACGGATGCAAGGACGTTAACGCACGTATCGTGATGCGAATAACACACCATGCTCATGTCTGCCCGTGTCTCCCGTCAGACACTACGAATATTCTAATCGCTCGACTCAGTCATGGGTGACGTGAAAATTTGTGAACACGTTAACCCTACATAGCAAGCTATCGGAGGCCAGTGACATCTTGACCTCTGAGTACATCGTGTGTACGTCCATCAGCTCCTGGCGATTGCTTCTTTACTAAAATAGTCTTATCGAATTGAGCAGTGAGCTTTTTGAAATACTGTAAGAATGTACTGAACACGCGTTCGAATAAGTTTTTTCTATCATGCATTTTTTTATTGCCAACGCCCGCACCTAACGCAAAGTAACATTTTCTCTTGTTTGCGTTAACATATTGAGAGATCTTTGATGATGGTTATAGACTCTTTAAGTAACACCCCTTTCCCGGTTTCCCCTCAGCTTCGGCTCACGCGAGGATCGAGCTGACCAGCTTCTTTCGCCCGCCTCTCCCGTGATTTATCGTCTTTCCGGCCGCCCTCTCAGCCACCCATCGCCGACCCGCAGCCCCAGCGGGTCGCGGGCAGAGCGGTCAAAGGACTACCCTGGAGTTTTTCCAACCTCCAGAATGTATCATCTCCCAAAATCTTAGGCAACAAGCATATTATGGGGCAAAATATTATTTAAGCATTCGTTTTTTACTTAAAATGTGCGTGTATTTTTTTATCGCGTGTTTCTCTTCCCCAAAAATGTTTGGCTCTTTCATATTTTCAAAATATAACAACTTCATACGTAGTAATTATTATTAATAAAAAACTTTGTTTAAATATGTCATGACTATCCAATCTAACCCACAGCTCTTTATTGCTCACACATTTTTTAATTATGAAATGTTTTACTACATTTTTAAGTCGAACAAGAAAAGTATTTTTACTTTTCGTGTGAAATTACTAGTCAACTACTACTTTCCTAATCGAATGTCTTGGGTTCTTCGTAATTCCAACTCTCACAAATCTTGAACAAATACGAATTAACCACAAATTGAATTAACCAACAAAAGCTTTTTCCATTCGCATTCCGGTATCATCATGTACCTCTTCATTTTAATTGTAATATTATATATTCTTTTATGCCATTTCTGCATGCGTACCAAATATTTATTCTACCCCACAGTTAGAACATCAATGATTATACTGGGCTGCGTGTAGAAAACTAGTGGAGCTGTCAAAGCGCACACTTTCTCGCATTGTTTCTAAAAGCTCCACAACATTCCGCTACTGCATAACCAGCAAAAGTTTTGCCAAGCAGCTAATTATTTTTCCGCTCCGAGCCTCGAACGCAGATCCTCAGAGTTAACGTGCACTATACCACTATGCCACACAATCGACGCATGGCTCGAACTCTGACAAAGGTATAAAAAGGTATATGCCCGGTTCATGTAAAAAACTTTCAAAATCAAAATATCCGTTAAAAACTCCCAAAGCCTCCAGTCCGATTAGATCAATCAGGGTATATCAATTTTTAAGAAAATCAGCTGAACGGTTTAGGCGCTGGCGGTACTGCAGACGGACAGACTGACAAACGGAGAGACGGACATTTTGCCGTCATTGGTTTTTTCGGTATCAAGAACCAACAAAACATGGATTCTGGATACACCAAGAGTTAGAGATTATTTTTTTCTAAATTTAACAACAAGATGTATCCACTTTTTCATTACCAGAACCCGGCATTGTGGTTTGTTCTGGCGAAATTTCGTCATTTGCTTACGCACGATTACATAACTTTCTCTTTTTCCACAGAATTCGTAAGGCGAGAAAGTAATAATAATTTCCGAACCTTTAGGGATATCTAAGTTGGTCTCATGGCTAGTGTTCATTATCTATTTAAATTTCATTACGATAATTCATTAGTTTACATAAATTGGTTCATACAGATGCACAGAAACTCAACAATTGATTTGACGTCACATCCTTTTTACAAATCGCAAAAGAATTTGAAAAAAAAGTTTTAAAGTTTGAAATTGCAAAAGTACATATAGAGATATCCGGTTTTTTATATGTGTATTGATTGCATTTGTGGGTAGAAATGTTTCAAATGATATTCAATAAAGTTTCTCGAATCCCTAATAGTTTTCTACTACAACACTTTCATCAAATTAATATCTCCGCAAAGGGCTCGAACCGGCGACCTCTTGGTTTCAAGTCACGAACCCAAACATGCCACTTAACAAGTTCAGCCATCCAGGAGGACAAGACCTATGTACTTCCATAATACTCAAGACACAACCGTTTCAGTTCTAGCATTACAGAGCTGTGAAAATGTGAAAAAACGAGGGAATTAGAAGTTGCAAATTCGAAAATCACATATCCACATCAAATTTATTTATCTTGATTGTATTTGTTAGTAGAACTGTTTCAGATAATTTTCAATTAAGTTTATGCAATTTTCAATGTTTTTGTTCGGCAACACAGAATTGTGTCATATAACTATCTCTAAGCGATGCTCGAACAA